TCATAATAGATTTGATACTTAAAACAACCCTATCCTCGTGCGAGGATAGTTGGCATCGATTTACTTCTGGGTGGCAGACTGTCTGATCTGCAGTATGCAGACGACATTTTGCTGCTAAGCGAAGATGTAGGTAAGATTCAAGCTTTTCTGGATCGTCTGAGTGCTATTGTAGCCATGTTTGGTATGCGTTTTGCACTTTCAAAGTGTAAAATGTTGCTCCAAGATTGGGTTGGTCCAGTCGCCAACCTCCAGGTTGGGGGTTCGGCTTGAGTCGGCGTCTTAGTCGATAAAACGTGTTGGAGGAATAATTGATCCAAGTTAATGGGCCTCCAGTCCGCCTTAACCGCTGCCTTGCGGTTAGGTTCTTGTCAGAACCAAAGGCTTTGGTCGACAAACCTAATTGTTCTCCTGCTTAGTGGCTGGACACCCTGGCAGTACTCGTCCACAAAGCTCCAATGAACACAAACAAAAAATAATTTCATACTGCATCGGTCGTCGCACAGGATAATCAGGACCGCGCTACCCATTGTACGAGTGGGATGGGTAATGATAAGTAGGCTACTGCTCAGATATCCCAACCTTGGTTTAACTCTTTGTCTTCCGTACCCAACTCTATCCCTTTACCCCTTCTTCCGACCCGTGATATTCCCTCAGACAACTTGGTCGTCACTCGCCAAAGGTCTTTGCCAAATAGCACTGTAACTAGTTTTCCTGTAAATAAAGTGCAGATTCTGAAGCCTCGTCAACCTCTCAATCTGGAGGCTTTCAACTTGAGGACTTATGCAGGTGGGTCAACAGGCGTGTCTTGCGCGTACAATGCTGTCTCTAGAAATCGATGTCTGTTGTCTATTTATGAGACACGAATTCCAGTATTATAAGCCTCCTGAGTGCACCGGCCTGTCCTCGAGGTGTTTCCTTCGCACATCAGGAGACGACGAAGCCCGCTCACTGGGTCAGCGTGCTGTAGGTATCGTACTAAACGATAAAGCTAAAGCCTCTATGATGGATTGGACACCCGTCAATAGTTGTCTGTGCGCAATGAAGCTACAGGGTTCAGTTAGTGTTCGAAAGGGTAGCAACACAAAAATGTGTTTTTTTCATAATTTCCGCGTATGCACCAACCAACTGCAGTCCCGCTTCAAAAAAAGGACGAATTTTACGACAAACTCGCCGAACTGATTCGGTTGAGCCGCAGCTCTTATGTTACAGTGTTGGCAGGTGATTTTAATGCGCAGTTTGGAAAACGGAGTGCAGCAGAAGCCTGTCTTGGAGGGCACTTCGCCCTTCCCGCCCAGTGAACAGACAACGGTGATCGACTACTTCATTTCTGCGCGGATCACCGGCTGTTCTTATCTAGCACCAACACAGCTCTCGTCGAACGGCTACGTGGTGTTCTAGTTCAACGGGGAAATTGTCCCAAAGTGATCACATGGCTGTAAGTTACCGTTGGTGTGGTTCAGTACAAAAATGCAGATCCTATTAGACTACCTGCGTTGAGTTGGACCATGCACTAGTTCTGTTGCGCTTCATTCTTCGACTCATTGGTTATCGGCAGAAATCGCCTCCTCAATCAGCTCACCATCGTCT